CCTGCATGCAACGACCGCCGCAGCCCACGCACGGCCGAACCAAGGGGCCCGACCCCCGCAAGCCCACCCGGCGCGGGCGCAGCCAACACGGGCGCTAGCAGCTCGGCGAGGCGATCAGCAGCCGCGAAGCAATCGTCCCGAGGGCCGCCCACCAGTGAGTCGCCCTGGGACAGGGCGGCATGACCATACACCTGCACCACGTGCACGACCCGCAGAGCCTCTGAGAGGCGCCAGATCTGACCAAGGGTCACCTCCGGCACCGCGACCGGACGCTGAGGCCCCAGCAGGGCCGAGAACGAGTGTGCCGCACCTGCAGACGGGGGAGGGGGATCAACAGGCAGCAGGGACCGGTATTGTGCAGTCACGGGCCCACCAGCCGCGGTAAAAAACTCGACCCCCGCCACAGGGGGGACCCACGGCGCCTGGCGGTGATTCCCCAGCTGCGGGGTTGAAGCGACAGACCCGCCACGTGCGGAGCTGGCGGTGCAACAACAGGCTGGGCAACAGGAGCAACCCCAGGCGGCACGAGAGGAGCACCCGCAGACGGTGCAGGGGGCGCAATCACAGGAGGCGTGGGAGGTACAGCCACGGCCAGTGCAGGAGCAGATCCCGCCTGCACAGGCGGAGGAGGCGCCAGCGGCGGAGGCGGTGCAGATGGGGGAGCCGGAGAGGCGGGAAGCGCCGGCGGGCCCTGGACGTCAGTGGTGGCGGACCCCTCCGGCTGGGCCGCCACGCCGCCAGCAACAACCGCCTGTTCGGCGGCCGCAGACGGAGCGACGGGGTCGGCAACTCGAAGAGCGCCAGACGGAGCAGACATATCAGACGCCGCAGCGAGAGGGACAGGCGGCTCGACATGAAGAGGTGCAGACAGCACGGGAGCCTGACGACCACCGTCGCCAGGCAGAGACGCCAGGGCCTCGCGAAACGACGGTGCGGGGCGAGGAAGGATTTCAGCGCCTTCTGTCACGGGCTTCGGAGCAGGCAGCGGTGGGGAGCCCGTCGGCATGGTCCCCGTTCCGGAGGCATGCAGTGGCCTTTCGAACGCAACCGACGCAGCGCCAGCGCGCATTGGCGAATAATCGGTCGGCCCAGCAATCACCATCGAGGGGCAGAGGAGGACGAGGCAGAGGGAGAGTGACAGCTAGCGGCGAGGGAGGTGGACCCGAGAATGGCTTCCAAGCGGCAGGGCGACGGGCTTTAACAACACTGGAAATGGCTAATGAGGAGGAGGATCAAGGAGATCCTTCTTATAGGGAGGAGCTGCTCCCACTAAGTGAAGACGACGAGGAAGAAAGTGATGAGGCTGGAAGGCTGAGGCCTGGGAGGCAAGCTGCTGAGCATGAGGCGGGCGAGGTAGGAGGAGCGCAACAAGTAAATCGGACGGCTACGATTCCAACCCATGGACAGGGCGATACCCCGAGGCGCGCGCAGAGGAATCAAACCGCTCGCTCTGGCAGCACGTCAGCAAATCAAACACATTTCCCCCGCTACTTCTCGCTAGAGGAATTGGCGAAGCGAACTGACCTGTTCGCAGCCATCGATGATTGGGATTTGGCGGCCCTATGCGACAGTCGTCAGCCATCCCTGTCGCGCCGATTACCGCCCAATTTGTGTCAGCTGTTTTCACTGGTGTTACTCACCCCGCTCCTTCACCTCGCGCGAAATCCGGACTCGGTCGCAGGGTGGCGACTGCTGCTGTTCCTCCCTCGGCTCACTCTTCGCCAAACGTCACCTAGAAGACCGAAGTGGCCCGAAGTCAAAGCCCGTCTCAGAGCTTTCCAGCGTGGCGAATGGGGGCTGCTGTATTCGGACGCAATCGAAGCCATCAACACCCCACCGCCTCCACGTCACCAGCCTGACGAGGCGGGAGTACTCAGCAGGGCGGAGGGCCTGGCCAAGCGTGGAAGTCTACGGCGAGCCGTGCTGGCCCTCGAGTCAACCCCAGTCTGCACGCCAGGCCCAGCAATCTTGGATGAACTTCGCGCAAAACATCCCCGAACCGACGACGAGCAGCTGAGCTGGCCAACAGCACCTGGCCCGAATCTGCAAATCAGCCACGCCGATTTCTCCAAACTTCTGGGTCGGTGCGAAAATGGGGTGGGGACTGGACCGTCCGGAACCGCTTTCGAACACCTTCGCGACGCATCTGCAACCAACGCATCGGTCTGCACCCACTTGCATGCCCTGATAAACACTATCCTGGCTGGCAAATTACCCGAGCCAGTGGCAGACCTACTGACAGCGTCACGCCTAATCGCGCTGTCCAAGCCAGGTGGGGGGGTTCGGCCAATTGCAATTGGCGAGTGCCTGACGCGCCTCGCGGCCAAGGCAGCGCTGACCGCAATTGGGGAAGCTGCACGTGACCACTTCTTGCCACTACAGTACGGGGTGGCGGTACCAGGGGGAGCTGAGGCAAACATCCATGTCGCACGTGCCTTCGTTGACTCGAGGGACCGCTGCGTGGTGTTACAGACCGACATCTCAAACGCCTTTAACAGCATATCGCGACAGGCTATCATCAAGGGGTTACGCGACACTAACCTTTTGCCACTGCTCTCGCTGGTGCGGCTAACGTACGGTAACCCGTCGAAGCTGTACCTCGACTCGAACTTCGCCAGCAACCCGCTAAACAGTGAACGCGGCGTAAGGCAGGGGGACCCACTCGGCCCTCTACTGTTCGCAGCAGGGATTCACCCAGCACTTCGCGAAACTGCCGACGCACACCCCCACGTTCTCTGCTTGGCGTATGCAGACGACGTGACATTTCTGGGGGGTGACACGGACACTGTAGCAGCATTCAATTTCTTCACGAGCAAGCTAGCGCAGCTGGGGCTTAAACATAACCCACAGAAATGCGCGGCATAGAGCACAAGGGGCGACATGCCAATCCAGCTGCCACCAGAGGTCCCGTTTTCCAAGGACGGGATACGCCTTCTAGGCAGCTTCCTGGGGCCAGCGGCGGGCGCGGCCAAATTCCTGGCGGGGCAGCTAGAGGAAATGGCGAAGCCGCTGCCGCTCTTAGAACGTGCCGACCCCCAAGTAGCCTCCCTGCTCCTGACCCGCTGCATTTACACACGCGTAGCTTACCACACTAGGACTACACCACTGAACCTCCTACCACGAGACACCTGGGCGCAGTGGGGGAGAGACCTCCTAGCCGCGCTCCTGACATCCTGCGGGATTAAAGTCCCTACCTGTAGCACGGAGCAGTCGAGAGTGTGGGCGCAAGCCTCGCTTCCATCATCCCTGGGCGGCCTAGGAATCACGGATCCACTCGTAGAAGGCGTCTACGGCTTCGTGGCCAGCTTCACACAGGCCGCACTCTTCTTTTCCTCCCTGACGCTAGCACCTGACACAGCACTGACCCGAGCCCACAGCCACATGATTCTGCCCCGGGACGTCACCACACCGCTCCACTCCTGGCTCACAGAGTGTGAGACTGCCCTACCCTCAGACGCACGCGACGTAGTTGACCAGGAGCGGCTCTCTCGGTCGGACATCAAGCTCCAGCACACACTGGCCCTGAAAGTACAGGGGAGTAGGTATGCGGTTCAGGTCCAGGAGACGAGGCAAATGAGACTGAATCCACTCTCCGGGCACACACAGAGAATGTTCTCACTCACAGGCTACGGCATAGGGGACTGGCTGACGGTCGTACCGGTAGCTTCCTCACGTCGCATCGGCCCGGTACACTTCAGCAACGCCGTGCGCTTCCGGCTGGGCCTCCCTTTCTCCACTCCGAAGAATTGTGATTGTGCAGACCACACCGCTATCACAGACCCGCGCCTCCCCAACCACCTCTTCCGCTGCGGCACGGGGAAGCACCGTACGAACACTCATAACGAACTCCGCGACGCATGCATCAGCATGGCGCAAGACGCGGGGTTCATCGTACACAGGGAAACAAACGTTTACTGCCCCATAGAGGAGCAGACAGCAGATTTCACCATGACGGACAGAAGCAGTGGGGCGGTTTGGGTGTGTGATGTGACGGTCACAGACCCTATTAGTACCAGGGACCCGGAGGCACGGAAAGGCAGGGGTTGGGCAGCCCGGGAGCAGGCGGATAAGAAGATCAAGCACTATGAGAACCTGCCAGAGACAGTGGGCTTCTTCCCTCTTGCAGCCGTGGAGACCTACGGCTGCCCTTGTGCCGAAGTCCCTGTGTTCCTGAAACTCCTTGCAGACACGGCGGCTCGGCGATACTTCAACGCCGACTCCAAATCCTTTCATGCCGCGAAGTTTCTGCACCAGTTCAGGCAGAGGTGGTCGGTTGCGCTGCAGAGGGCCCAATCTGTGGGTCTCATGGTCAAATTAGGAGAGGCGGCTGCTGCGGAGAACCAACCTGTAGGGGGGATAGGGCAGGAATTATACCTGGGGGACTGTTTTACAGTCCTAGAGCCTCTTCTTGAGCTCTAGGTGACTTAGAGGGGTGGGACAGTCTATGCTACCTTGCATGTTAGTACCTGCTGTCTCTCATTGCATGTGTGTACCCTTCTGGCTTATCAATATACGGACCATTAGAGAGAGAGAGAGAGAGAGAGAGAGAGAGAGAGAGAGAGAGAGAGAGAGAGAGAGAGAGAGAGAGAGAGAGAGAGAGAGAGAGAGAGAGCCACCAGGCCTGGTCCTTAGTCTCTCCCAGCAGTCTCACCTAGTTTAGCCTTAGCATAGCTTAGTTTAGAGCCCCCTACCAGCCTCTAGTCCTTGGTGTAGCCCATGCAGCCTGCCTATAAGCAGTACAAAGTCCTATATAGTCTCCCTCAGTCCTCCATTCCACTCATTATTCTCTGGTGAGAGTTAGTCGTCCCAACCCAGCGGCTCGCGCCGGCCGCCTTCGGCGGCCGACGCTCGACAGCACGGCCTTCGGCCGCGCGTTAGGGGTGACAAGGACAAGAGGGCCAACAAGAAGTTACAAGGGGCAAGTACAGGCATGCAAGCATAACACAGAAAAGGGGCCACAGTAAGGTAAGTCCCCCCCATGGGGAAGAAAAAGCATGCAACTAAGGCTGCTTCAACGACAAAGCCTGCATCCGCTCCACCCGCCGCCCGAGCCACCGGAGCACACACGCGATCGCAGGGACGATGCCGAGCGGGCTTTCCTCAACAGCCATGGCTACCATGCGGAAAGCTGCAGCGCCCGGTCCGTCGTCCAGAGAAGGGTCCTCAGGTTCCAGCGGCAAACGGAGGAGGTCCCACATCGCACCCGAGACCGCGCGGCGGGCCCGAGCCTGCTGGTCTTCACCCTGCTGCGGATCTCGGGCCACAACCTCCCGCGACTGGAGGGCGTCGTGCAGGAGGTCAAGCACGAAGGACAACTCCGTCACACAGCGACCAACATCCGACAAATGCAAACCACGGGCTTGATACGCTCCATCACCAGGCCGAGGCTCCCCCCAAGGAGCATCCGGGGGAGGAGCGCCCCAGCTCCCATCCGCCTCACTCCGCGCATGAGGCCATGGCACCGCCCACCAACCAACGTCCGGGTCACGAGGCGTTCCCGGCACCTCGTCATCGTTCCAGTAGCCTCGGGGGAGGCCAGGCACCGGCTGATGCTGCGGGATCAGGAGGGGGGAAGAACGACGAAGGGTGGAGAAATGGGAACAACAAGGAGGCGAGCAACATTGCAGGGAAAGCAACGCACGGCATGCTAAAGGGGACCGGGATGGGGTGCCACTCACAAATCCAAACCGTGCATGTGGGAGACGAGACCGCGGCACAAGAGGGTGCTGGCGACGAGGCTGACACTGGCGAGTGGCTGGTAGTGGCCAGCGAGGGGCTGGCGGTGCCGGCGCAGTCGCATCCAGCCGGGGCGGGTACGAATATGCAAACGGAGGATTGGGGGGCGATGCCGACGGGGGCGCGGCAGAGGGGGGCCCAGGCTGAGGCAGGGGCGGGAGCGAACCGGACGCCGAGGCCGGAGGGGGCGCGGGGGTTGGCGCACCAGCAGATGGCAGAGAACCGGACTGGACCGGCGGAGGCGCAGGGACAGGAGCCTGAGACTGCGGCGACGGCGCCGACACCGGCGCAGACGGCGGCTGACGGGAGTGCGGGGCTGGAGGCGCTGACTGCGCCGGCACATGCGAAGGAGCCGCATGAGACGACGCGGACTCGTCCGGCGGCGGAGGAAGCTGCAGCGGCTGGGACTGCGCGGGTGGGGGACGAGGCTGAGGCCGAAGGCATGCCTGGCGAGAGGGCAGCGGGCGAGGAGGGCGGCGGCGGCGGAAAGACTGGCCGCGCGCGCGGAGGTATGGATGCGTGCGCCCACGGGGGGATCGGTACACAGGCTCCCGCGGCCGTACAGGATCGCTCGGTAACACAGAAGGCGCGGAGCCAGCACCCGCAGTCAAGCAGTCCGCGACGGCTCGGAACAGGACTGGCACCTGCCCGCCCTGGACCGCTGGTTGGATGGGCACAGCAGGTGATCCCGCCGCCACAATCACATCGCGCCGAGGTGGCCGACGGCGGCCCGTCATCAGGCGCTAGACGAACAGACGTAAACGGCCCCCACGATGCAGCTGGGCGGACAGAGACTGAGGCGGACGAGGCGGCTACGGCGGAAGAAGAAGTCCACATGACGGCCCTGGATCGCCGTCGCGGGGGGACGACACGGCAGAGACTGCTACGCGAACGCGCGGCGGAGGCAGCGGGAAGAACCCCGCCGGCAGGAGCACGTGGTGCAGTACCGCCCGCCTCAAGAGGCCGCGGCGGACGGGGTACAAGGGGGCGGGGGGGTCTGGCAGCGGCGGTGGCTAGGGAAAACGCCAGATCTGGAACCTGGCGGGAAAGGCACGGGAGGACTGAGAGACAAACGGGGGAAGGGCCAATGAATGACGATATGGAGGATGGGGACGGAGACTATATGGAGGAGGAACAAGGTGATTTGGAGGATGTATCACTGGAGGATGAAGGAGGTATCCCGGGTAACAGGGTAAATCAGAGGGCACCGAGGGAGGGAAACGAGGCTACCACCAACGAGGCCGAGTCACGTGGCGTACCTCCCAACGAGGCAGCCAGCAAGGCACGATCACCAGCAGATATAGCATCCGATTCGGACGCATGGCGACAGATGGAAGGGTGGGATTTGGGGCCCTTCTGCTGCAGCTCGCAGCCCTTCCTGTACCGAAAGCTTCCTCCCAAGATCCTGGGAGTCTACGCCTACTGCTTGACGATACCCCTAATCCGACTGGCGAAAGTTCCGAGCTGCCCCGGGGCATGGCGAATTTTACACTTCCTGCCGAGGCTGACCCTACGAGCCGAACTCAAGAAACCCCCGGGAAACTGATGGGGTCCAGTGGAGAAACGACTTCAGCAATTTCAAGAGGAGGAATGGGAACTGCTTTTCTCGGAAGCTTGCGTCATCCCCCTGAACCCACAACCGAGCCGACACCAACCCGACCCCGAAGGCATGTGCGCCAGAGCAGAGGGCCTGGTACGGAAAGCAAACATGGCAAAAGCACTGTCAGCGTTACAAGCAACCCCCCTCACCGAACAAACGCCCACAACACTCGCGGCACTTCGCGCCAAACACCTGTTGGCCGGGGAACCGACACCAGGCTGGGTTGGATATGAGTCGTCCGACCTGACAATCGCCGCCGACGAGTTCCGCGAGGTCTTGGCTAAGTGTCCTAATGGGATAGGGGCTGGGCCACCTGGAACCTGCTTTGAACACCTGCGGGACCCTGCACTGGTGAACGGGGAAGTCCTCACCCTCTTGCACCAGCTCGTCAACACGCTACTCAGCAAATACCTAAGCGAGCCTCTTAGAGACCTACTGCTACCATCGCGGCTGATAGCCCTGGAAAAGCCAGGAGGGGGGGTCCGGCCTATCGCAATAGGCGAAGCGATCATTAGGATAGTAGCGAAAGCAGCGCTGCGTAAGCTCTCACCGGAGATCCGCCGCTTCTTCCTCCCAGTCCAGTATGGTGTGGCCGTCGCCGGAGGCGCAGAGACCGTAATACACACCACACGGGCCTTGCTGGCAGAGGACCCAACACGAATCGCGATTCAGCTCGACATCGAGAATGCATTCAACTCGGTGGAACGGGAGAGTTTCTTCACGTCCCTTAAATGGTCGGCGCTCGAGCGCCTACTCCCGCTTGCCCGAACTCTGTACGGCGCGCCGGCTCGCCTTCTCCTAGATCCAGGCTTCGACGAGCGCTACATCGAGAGCGCCCGGGGGGTTCGGCAGGGAGACCCACTCGGGCCCATGCTTTTTGCGGCAGCCATTCAGCCATCCCTATTGAAAGCAGCAGTCATGTGCCCGACGACAGTGGTTATGGCATACGCCGATGACATCACGATCATCGGCCCCCCGGCTCAGGCGATCAAGGGAGTACACCTCATGGCACAGGAGCTACGGAAGTGTGGCCTGCGGTGCAACCTGGAGAGATCCTCGGCGTGGAGTCCGGCGGGCTACTCTGACGGGCTACCAGATGGTCTGGTGGCGGCGATCGATGTGCTCGGGAGCCCGGTGGGGACAAGGGAGTACGGGAGGAGATTCATTCGGTCAACTCTTCGCACTGTGGCGGAGCCGCTTTCCCTCATCAGCAAACTGCACCCTCAACACGCACTACTACTGCTCTCGAGATGCGCGTCGCGGCGCATCTCGTACATGCTCCGCACGACCCCGGCGGACACCTTGCCCCTTGAGGAATGGAGGGCCTGGAGCGAAGACCTGCTATGGACAGCGCTGAAGGCAGCACAGATGTACGCGCCAGTCAGTGAACTGGAGTAGAGTCTTGTGTGGCGCCAGGCAACGCTACCAGTCTGCCTAGGGGGGCTGGGGTTGATAGACCCACTCTCGGAAGCACCGGCGGCATACCTGGCCTCACTACACGCGGCAAACACACTGCTTCGGCAAGCGGCGATGGAGCACAACAACCCTCTGCGGCACGCAGCGGACCTCCTCTCTCCCATGAGGGAGGAGTACGAGGTGGGAGGAGAGGGAAACACACTCCAGGACCTCAGGAACAGGCTTCCAGAGCGGGCCCGAGAGATCCTGAAGGCGCAACACCAGAAGAGGGACGGGAGAGGGCACCTGCAGCTACTCCTATCTAGACAAATCAACCAGGACAGGGCGGCGGAGTTGGTGGGCGACACAAGAAAGGACAAGCACGGTGTGGACAACGGACACGTGATCCGCCCCATCAGTTTACAGTGGGTGGGGGCGGGGGACTGGCTGCACGCCATCCCCACGAGAGGTGACCTCACCTTCTCACCGGGCCAGTTTGCAGTTGCGCTGGGCTTTCGGTTGGGACTGCCTCTGGCGGTGACGGAGAAGTGCCCCTGCAGGGGCAAGCGGTCGGACATCACGGATCGGAGCCTACCGAACCACTTGCTGCGGTGTGCCGACGGAGGAGACAGGACGAACACCCACAACGCCCTGGTATATACGGCGCTGCGTATGGCTCAGGAAGCGGACTACACTACCCTGCACGAGTCGGCGACCTTCTCGCCTATCACTAACCAAAAGCGAGCGGACCTGGTGATCCGTGACAAGGAGTCCAACGAGACATACGTCACTGATGTCACAGTCACCGACCCTGTGCTGCAGCGCCGCGACAAGAGGGCAGTCAAGGCACCAGGGTGGGCGGCAGAGGACGCGGTCAGGGTGAAGCGGGGCCTGTACGAAGGGCGCCCTGGCTTTGTGGGGGTGTTCGGTTTGGCGGTGGAGACCTACGGGGCACTGGCTAAGGATACCCAATGGTTCCTACGCCTCCTCGGAACACAGGCAGCTAAGAAGAAGCATAGGCAGGGGAGACTGACTACCGTGGCCTCTCGGATCACGGCACATTACCAACAGAGGTGGTCGGTCATGCTCCAGCGCTGCCAAGCGAATGCCCTGATGGCCAAATCCAACAGGGCACTCGAGGCAGCACACCCCCAGGCGGCAGCCGACCCGTGGGAACCAAGCCTCGGGGACCTCTGGCAGATCCTAGAGGACGACATGGCCCAACTGCTTGACCTGGGGGAGTAGAGGGCCGGGCTGACTACAGTTGGGCTGGCCCAGCCACATAGGACCGCTCTTGGCTGAACTGGGCAAGAGGGGGGGTGGGCGCAGTGGAGTAGGTTTTACATTCGAATCCAGAGGTCTGGTGATCGAATCTTGATTATACAATTTTTTGGGTTGCGTAGCAACCCTATACATTTGGTAGCACTTTTCGGTCGACTCAAATTAACAGTGCCGTTTTCGTCATTTTCCCAATGTTTGAAGCTCTCGTTTTAACGTTTTGGGAACGAGTGCTCCTAAGTTGCGGAGATGACGGAAGCACTGATAACATAAGAGTCTCCCCAAAAGTGAAACCAAATGTGACCTTTTATTCCATAATCGTCGATAAATACGGCGAATGGAACAATTGGTCATCACGTTTTGACACCAACACAACGACGAAAGAACATCCACTGGACGTGAAGACGAGTCATGTGCATTTATTGAACATGTGCAAAAACAACACACAACAACTGTGAGTGAACACAACAACGCACAACTACTGTGAGTGAACATAAAAAATGCATCGGCGCTACAACAGAGATGGTTCCGGTATGCTAAGGCGAGCAACGCTGCCCCAACAACGATCCCCACCTCGATTGCAGACCCGACACACTTTAACATCACTCCACCAAAACGAGACAAGAGACAAAACATAACGACGATGGTTACACAAATTGTACGACACTGGAAAATATACGTACTCAAAGAAGGTGGAATACGACAAACGATTAACAATAACTCACTCCAACAGTGATAAGGTGAATGATAAAATGCAGCGGTGCTACAACAGAGATGGTTCCGGTATGCTAAGGCGAGCAACGCTGCCCCAACAACGACCCCCACCTCAATTGTAGACTCGACACATTTTAACATCACACCCCAAAACGACACAAACGACAAAACATAACGAGGACGATACCACACTGTACGACCATGGAAAACAAACGTACTTTACAAAGGTGGAAAACGACTCTAAAGACAAAGATGGCGACGCAATCAGAACGCACACAAGATGATGCACACAAATATAGTTATGATGTATCAAAGGTGTATAGAATTATTGCTAGTCACTCCGTCCTCGCCCCACTCATGGTTTCCTTCTATTGCTCTCTTCCTCCCCCTTCCCTGTCCACCCGCCACTTTCATCTTCATTCTCTTCCATTACTTTTGCTTCCCTTATGCCTTGCATAATTGAAAACCAAGAATACAAATGCGTAAAAAATACAACATGGGGATTGATTTGACAGATGCACGCACACGTACAAACACGCATACTCATGTATACACCTTCAAATAACCACACACTTACAATCAAACTTTTGCAACACCACTTCCACCCTACACAGAGAGCGGAGCCAGATACAAGTATAAAAAAAGGGATTAAATCTTAAACATCGACATAGGTTTGTAACATGCTTACAAATGAAAAGTTGACAAAAAAACCAAATTCAAACAAGCGAAGTATCTAAGAAGCAACACATT